ATTAACACACACACTTTCTTCCCCACTTTTTTAATATTTTAAATAAAATATTTTCTTTTGGGCTTAGTTCCCAGGATCTTCCTGTTTAATACCAGAGTCAAACTTTTGCATGATATCAAATACATCTAAGTGAATATTAATAGACATATTTCTTTTTTTTAAAGAACATAGAGATTTCCAGTAATGTTTGTTTGTGAATAAAAACCAAATCAGAAAACTTTCAGAAAAAAGTATTCAACTCCATTTTAGACAAATTTGTGTTGAAATAAATCAAAATTTTTGTGTTTTAATTTTCTTTGTAAGTTTCTGAAAAATGATCAGTTATTTTGAACTGAAACACAAATATTTTTCATAAGTTATTTACTTGGTAAGGTATAATTTATTTTTTTTTGTTTTTTTTACTTTTGAAAATCACAAAGTGGACAATCAAAACTTAGGTTTAAAAGTGCTTAGTTAATTTTAATATTTTGTACTAACTTCACAATTTAAAAAAACATTGTTTCCCCATTTGAGATTAACTCTCCTCTATGGTACCTAGTTTTTATGAATTTAAGCACATTACTAGATTGGTGACAAGATCTCATCATTTTACGGTTGCAATGATTAGATGTAACTGTAAGTTCTATGCTAACCGTTTCTTTTCTTGAACTTCTCACTTCTGGAACTCTCTTTCGGCTTCTTGCTTTCCAGTCAAGTTTGATCTTCAAAAATTTAAATGTTACGTCAGTCGTTATCTTCTATCTTTTTAATTTTTTTTTTTTATTGCTCTTGCTCCTTAATGTTTTCTCATATTCTTTCACACTCAGTAAACTACTGTGTGTTACTGGCTCTGTTGGCTTGCTTGGGATGAAATGATTAAAAAGAAAAATCAATGACATTGTAACATGTTTATCCTTGATAATTTGGATTATGTTTTAAAAATCAGCATATTTTTAACTACTACACAATTTATATCAATTTCTCAAATTGTTAAAAATAATTTCTGAATGTGCTATTTTTTCTTCATTATACCAATCTATAATTAATCTATACATTATTTATTAGAAGTGTTGAATATCAAAATATAGAAATATGTACCTGTTTTCACTGTATTATTTTGTTTATTCCCATTTCTGTGTTTAACTGGGTAATTGGCAATATAACAAGACCTAATGCTTCTTTGGCTATTTCATTTACAACCCATTTATATTTTGGGAGAGTATACAAAATTTTTATAAGATCAAAACAATTCTTTTGTTTTATATTTGTTAAATTCCAAGGAGAAAAAAGCTTGCTGTGATATGGTTTGTAGATGTGCATGTAGCATGGAAGTTATTGATGCAGAAATAGTACAAAATCTGATTAGGCGTCAACTGGAAATTCCACTTAGTAAAACCTAGTCACTACAACACCACCTACCTTGATGAGGCTGTGGCTCTATACATCCCAGTAAAGTCTACAGGGTTAATATACAGGGCTTATAAAAGTGCCCTAAAGCACATTCCGTAACGTAACACTTGACATTGTTCTGCTATCTGTTAATACCTAGTACGGGTTAATTTGTACAGTATATAGCATCTATATAATGAGGCAGTTTGGGAATAGAACCCAAGCATAAACATATCCCTTTACATTTCATAACACAGCTTATACATATACCCTGAAGGTAGTGTTATATTAAATTTAATAAATTTTGTGTACATACAGATATAAGTAATGACATGTAATGCTCACTTGAGGACACATGGCACAGTGGATAAAGGCGTTAGTTAGATCCAGTGACAAGACCCAAAGAGTGTGAGTTCAATACCCGGCTAAGGCAGTGGAGAACTTTCAGAGGGAAATTAACAGGAGATAACTGATAACTGACATCCCTTAAAACATGGCACGTGGAACTAGAACAGTCTACTCCAGTGAGCGAAATAAAGGGTTCAGTTTGACATTCCAACCACCTGAAGATGGCTGGAGCGTACAACGCATTGTAATAAATATGGTGACAAAGATGAGAACAATAGTCCGAATAATGTAAATAATGGACATAATACCTCACCTCAGAAATATAGGCAGATGCATCAGTGTCCATTTTGAATTTTGTTAAATGGATCCTTTTGTCACAAGACTAGTGCATTGAATGCAGTATATTTTCATAGTTTATTTTATGTTTGATAGTGCCAATAATAATTTAATGTGAATTTGTTCTGTTCATGGTATGAATTTCTCTCAAGGTCCATGTTTTAATAATTAGGTTTCACATTTTCAAAATGTATCTGGTTATTTTACTTTTATTAAAAAGTGATTGCAAAATTTGGAATGCCAGATACTGCTATTTTTAGTTAAGAGTAAATAGTCACTGTACATTACCAAAGAAATTGTTTTTATTCTAGTCAAAGAAGCATGCTATAAACAGTCGATTTGAATTATTTATACTGAAAGCATGTCAACCTCTGAAAATGTAAACACTGGAAATATGGAGTTGCTTCTTTGGTTCTTCATGGTTTCTGGTTGTTTATTTCCCCCTTTTATCTTTGTCATATTTTTTCATTAATGTCTTTTATTAGAAAAAGTAATTTATTCAATTTCTAAGACTGATTGATTGTTTTTTTTTTTTTTTTTTTTGTTTTAACCTTTTTTAAAGCCAGAAAATACTTTTAGATTGTAAGAATTTTTTTGGAAGTAATAATGATCTACTGATAAGTCCTATTAGTTAACCCATAGTTGAAGAGTTGATTTGTAATTTTGCGAAGTGTATTTGCATGTAAATGAATATAACTAACCTGACTGGTATTGGAACTTGACTCTTCGATTTTCCAATTTTGTGCCATTATCCATTATATCACCCACATATTTGAGCTTACAGCACCTGATATTCCTAAATATTTACCCATTTAGGTACTGACAGAGGTTAACATTACTTAACTTCTATGATTGTCATTTTCTAAGAAAGAAAAGAAAAGCTAGCAACAAGAATGAACTTTTTGGCCATTATCTCTTGGATTTGAATTAGGGAAAAAAATTAATTTACTATTGATGACAAAGTATATGTTGATGAGTGGGAATGTATGAATATACATAGATTTAAAAAAATAAAAAAAAAAAGGAAGCGGATAAATGTATTTGGCTGGTATGTACCGAGAATTCTCATTAACCAACTTATGTTTATTACTTATGTTTATACTTTTTGAAGTTTTGCCAACATTTTCACAGATACCTACTTACACATGAACATAAGGTTTTGTGAATACTAATGAGATGAAAGAACATATATACTGATCTTAGTTGTGCAGCTGTTAAGTCTTGACTTATGTAGAAAAAAAATAAATAATGTCTCAACTTGACACACTTCAGCTAAAGAATTCCACTTGTGACTCTGCACGTAATACATGGATATTTTTTTTTACTATCACTCTTCTTGTATGATGTACTTTTATTAGAGATAAAATCTAGGATTGTTAAAAGTTGAACTGTCTATACTCATTATTATTCTATTTATTTTATTGCCAAAATAAAATGTCCTTACTTGGAAAAATTCCAGTTATGCAGTAGCTTTTTTTTGCCTAAAATGCTGTTTTAGTTGTTTTTATATTTTTTTTATTATTGTATTTGTTTGGATTTGGGCCTGAGGACAAAGGTTTAAACTTTTAAGTCTTCTATACTTAATTTCATTATAATTTGAAAACAAGATATTGATTGAATTGTCTTATTCTCAAGGGTGGGTCGATTAAAATTTTCCCAGTATAATGTTTGATTTATGTAGTTAATATTATTTGCCATTGAATTATGTTGGAAAATATTTTTTCATTATTTGGCTGCAGCCTTATTGATGTACTTAGAAAATTAACTTGACTGTTTTCTTTGTATATATCATCATTTCAACTAGAAGAATTTGCCAACCAGAGGTAACGCTGAAAAAAGATGTTTGCATTTTAATGAGAAAAAGGTAAAACCTTTGATATTGGCAATCTTTTTGTATTTGTATGTGGCTTATTGGTAAAAGTTTTGGTAACTGGAATCAATAGAAAGTTTTGTTACAGAAAGTTGCTACTCATTTTATTTTACTCTAATGCCATTTGAAAATGCATGAATTTCAAAACTGAGCAAACACCACCGTCTGAAACAGCCACATCGTCTTGCTGACTCAGACCTGCAGGTACGCTTTTCTTAGATCCAGCAGGGACACTTTGGAACCCTACTGGCGCCACTCTCGTAGCTTGCTGGCACAAACGTCAGCATCTGCCGTGAACGCATCAACATGCGCGTATAGTTCGCGGTAGTCCATCACTGGCCTCACCTTTGCTTTGTTGTGCTGAGCAACCGCCATCAGCGGGATCAAGCCTTTAGGAGGTCCAAGTTTCTCATAGGGGTAAGGAATCAACCAGCCATCCTTGATCCGTTCGCGGAGCTCCTCTTCGTATGCAGGCCTCATTTGGTCGGGCACATGGTACTCGGCTACCTCGTTCCGCAGTTTGGCTGGTTCCTGGTTTTCCGACCACCTCCATGAGGCGGTCCAAGCCATCTGCTGCTGGTCAAATTCGACATTCGACACTAAAGTCCGGCTGGTCGATCCTCAGTGCTGTGCACACTGGGGCCCTCTCCTGAAACTTTACTGCCCCTGTCTGCATTATGTGAACACCACCTAGAGCTCTGATGGCATCATAGCCTAGAAGCAGGTCAAAGCCCAGTGGTTTTTCGAGCGCTACGAGCGCCTCAACATTGGCCGAGTTTCCAGTTCTTGTATGGATGTTCACCGCGCCCACCCCGCAACATGTCCGTGTTTCTCCACTGATGGTGGTCACCCTGACACTCTTCTTCTTCCAAGTGTGGCAGAGGTCCACGCACACTATGGTGTGGGAGCAACCGGAATCGAGGAGTGCTGAGCACAATGTCTCATTAATATAGACCTGAATGATCGGAAGCGCCTCATCTAATGTCTGCTTGGGGAAGAGGTCGACGCTGGCACCTTGTCCCTGGCCCCGTTTCCCGCACAATCCTGGGCCATATGTCTAGTCTCATTACACCGGTAGCAGCAAACAGCTGTCAGTCACCGCCTGCAGTTCCTCGCAATGTGGCCCTGGCCATCGCACCTATAACACACGACCCCACCACAGGGGCTGGGCCCCTGAGACGGTCTCTCATCACTCGGTGTGGACTGTGCAGCGGCGACTACTGGTTCTCTCACCTCAGAGTTATCCTTCATCATGATCCTGGCCCAGTCTACCAGGTCATTAAGGGACAACGAGGCTATGCTTGAGCTCGCTCGCAGGAGTTGCTTTGCTCCGGTTGGGAGCCCTGCCAGAAATTTGTATGCCAAGGCCCGCTCGGGCAGCCCACCGAACAACACTGTCAACTTCGTCAGCTTGGCCAGATACACATCAACAGTTTTGCCTGGCTCTAAAGTTCTTGCCTCAAATTGCTCCCAATGGCGGGGTCGATAACAAACGCCTTGTATAGTGTTGCCTTGATTCTCTCATAATCCTGTTTTTCCTCAGCACTGAGCTGTTGATACACAGCGAAAGCCCCGCCGGACAGATGCAGAGGAATCACGTGTTCAATGCTCTTTACGCCAGACAAGAGGCAATGCAGTTCCACTTTTTCCACCCAGTCAAGTACTGGGGTTGAGCCATCGAATTCCGGTATCAATTTCAGGTCGAATCTGTCCCCCATTATGCCGAAATAGCTTGTAAGTAAAATCAGGAACAAACAATAGGAAGGGAACGGGTTGGCTCGGCACCGCCTACTTCCGGAAGAAAGAAACTGCTCAGCTTCAAGACAGGTTGCTCAAAACAATTTAGCTTCAACACATTGAGTGCTGAACAGTTCGATGGAATTACTCTATGTAAAATACAAACAGTCTCAGTTCTTGGTAAGAAGGACACAGTTTCCGGTGAAGACAACAACACCTCAATTCGAAACACACAACGTAGTTATCCAAAAAAAAACAATCGCCTCAAAACTCCACTGATCTTCGCACTCAATAACAACACCGCCTCGTAGTTCGCTACACACGATCTCCCGAGTGGTCTCCCGCCGTCACCTTCATGTCAGCGAACACCAACCAATTTGCATACGGCCAAGTTCGCCTCTCGCCAATCCTCACAGCTACGAGATCGCGTTTCCCATAAGACCGACTTACCGTAATGGCGGTGTTTCTTCCTTCGGATCAATTACTGCCCTGCACGCCAGACACAAACGAACCCTCTTATGTCGAGAGCTAAGGTTAGTCTCACTTTCATGTCCACATGTTTATTATATCAAATACTGAAAGTGGATGGTGAACAGATTTGTTTTTATCTTAATTTTTATTTGGCATGCTTTTAAGGTTTGATATGACGAGCAAGCATTATTCATAGTAGATTAGATAAAGAGCACTGAATAGTCACTATTTTTTTTTAGCTTTCTTTTTTCTGAAGATAGATAATTAAAAAGATAATGGTTTTGGTGTTAGTTATTATATTGGAGGTTTATATGGCCTAAGATTAAAGCATAACTACACAAGTATTTTTAAGAGATTTTCTTGCAGTCAGGCATTGTTAATTCTACAGAAAGTCCTCTTTCTAGATGTATGGTAGGATACAAGTACCAGCTGAATTTTGTTTATTTTCCATCAGTTAAAGAAAGCCAGACATTAAAGAAAAAAAAACCTTTTCTTTTGTAATCCTCTCATTGTTACTGATTTAACATTTCTTTTTCATACTAAAGGTGGGACAGCTGTTAATAGAAACATTTGTCTCTTAATCACACACCTTAACTGTCGTGTACAATTCTACAACTTTAGGGTAACTTTTTAACTTGTATTTGTAAAAACAGTAAAAAATTATTTAATCTTTTTTTTTTTGTTATTCTCAACATGTATTACAAAAATATTTTCCTGTATAAAGATCAACTTATATTGCACTGTTGATTTTCAATAATTGAAAATCAACAGTGCAATATAAGTTGATCTTTAAATGAAACTGATTTAAAAATTTATATGATCCTGTATAATGTGATGGTTTGATTCACTTTGATCCAGTTACATTTGTGATTATTTGTATTGGAGCCACTAGATGCTCATTGCTTATTGGTTGCCAAAGGAAAGTTTTACTAGTTTTCAAAAATTACTTTCAATCTCCCCACTCCACAAAATGACAATATTTGTGTGTTGTTAAAAATATGCCCACAAAGGTGTAAACCATGTTGTTTGAATATGGCAATATATATTACAATAAAAAAAAAGTACATTTTGAAGTGATATGGTTTTGATATCACTTCAGGTATTCCATATTGAATTAAAATAATTATATATATATATATATATATATATATATATATATATATATATATATATATATATATATATATGCTCCTGAATATCATGAAAATGATAATTGTACAAATGTCTTCATTTCATTTTTACCAGCACAGATACTATATGATAGCAAATTCTGTATCATATTTAACACTGTTGTGTTATTATTATCATTAGTATTGTTATATATCTTTGACTCTAACTCCATGTTAGATGACAAAGGCCATCCCTTTCCTAACTTCCCCCATCTCACCATCAGTAGGATTTTTATTACAGCTTGGGAAGTCTCAAGATTTATCAAAAGTCTTGACCCTAACAAGGCCACTGGTCCAGACAAAATCCCAGTGGTTGTCCTTAAGAATATAATCCCAGAGTTATTCCTAATCTTAGCAAAATTATTTAATTGCTGCATGAAGGAGAAATCCTTCCCAAGTTTGTGGAAGGTATCAAGTGTATACCAGGTATTCAACAACACAGGTGAGTGCTCATCCCTCTCTCAGTACAGATCCATCGATCTCCTTGATGTCATTAACAAACTTTTTGAAGCTATAATCAAGGAGGTTGTTGATTACTTCAATAGGAATAAACTCTTGAGTGACGAGCAGTACAAGTTTTGAATGGTCTGATCCACTATTGATATCCTAACTGCTGTGAGGCATGAGACAACGAATACATCTCAAGGACGATGTCATTAGATATTTTAAAGGCCTTTGACAAGGTGTGGCATAGAGGGTTGTGGCACAAGCACTCTAGCTATGGAATCACTGGAAAAGTCTTTTTAATTATAAAGTCCTTCCTAACAGGTAGGTTCCTGAAGGTAGTTGTTAACAGCCAGTCCGCTGGAGCCCCTAGCAATCATTGCAGGTGTCCTACAGGGGCCACTTCTCAGACCAACCCTCTTTTTACTTTATATAAATTATCAACCTAAGAGTATACTCTAATCATTTGTGAATGTCTATGCTGCTGATATAATGGTATATGGGTGCACCACCAAAATTCTAGATGACCAGAGATTGGAAGCTGATCACTCCTCTAAAACAGCTATAACATTTCAATGAGGGAAATCTGGCTGGTTACATTCAATATCTCAAAACCAAACTAGTTACATTAACCATCATCGCTAATCGGATCCTGATATCCTAATTGCTGTAAGGCATGAAACAACAAATACACCTCAAGGACGATCACATTAGATATTTCAAAGGCCATTGATAAGGATTACTGCACAAGCTCTCCAGGTATGGAATCACTGGAAGAATTTTTGCAATTATAAAGTCCTTCCTTAACGAGTAGTTCCATGAAAGTTGTTAACAGCCAGTCTTCCGAAGCCTTAGGAATCAACAAAGGTATTCCTCAGTTCAACTCTTTCTACTTTATATAAGCTTTGATCATTTGTGAATATCTATGCTGATGATACAATGGTATACAGGTGCACCTTCAAAACTCTAGATGACCAGAGATTGGCAGCTAATGTCCTCTCTGACTTAGCTCTAACAAATCAGTGAGGCATAAACTGGCTCGTTACATTCAATATCTTGAAAACCAAACTAGTAATGTACGATCATTGACAATTGGGTCCAGAACTATCACCAATCATTTGTGAATGTCTATACTGATGGTATATGGGTGCACCGAACTATCACCAATCACAATAAACGGATGTTCCCTCAGGAAGGACCTGTGCCTTGAGCACCTATTGGGACAAACTCAAATCAGACCTTGTGGAACTTGTAAATACCTGACTCCTCATGCTATCCTCTACCTTTTACAAGAGCCAGATCAGGCCCAAAATAGAGTATTGTTGCCATATATGGACTGGAGCTGCCCAGTTTTCACTTTTTGATTTTGATAATTATAAGTGTCTCTGCATCTTTATGGGTGACAAATTATTTGTCAACCGACAAACTCTTTCTCACAGACATAATGTCGCAAGCCTTTCACTTTTCTATTACTATTTTCATGGAAAGTGTTCCAATAAATTACATTCCTTAGTTCCACCAGTATTAACCTTCATGGCTAAGACCCACCATGCCATGCACATTGTAGTGAATAACCCTCATTCCCTTTGTATTTCATTGGTGAGATGTATGTTCCACTCAAGCAGCTTCTTCCCATGAACTGCTACTTTGTGGAACCAACTTCCAAGAGGATGCTTTCCTGATCACTAGAATCTTAACCAGTTCAAGTCTAGAGTTAAGTGTTATATTCCCTACATATCCCCATAAACTGTAACTCACTTATCGTGAACATCATTGTTATGTGTGTGTGTGTGTGTGTGTGTGTGTATATATATATATATATAATATATATATACATACATGAATGAAGAAATATAGTTTTAAGATGTGCTATATTTATGGGATAAAGTGCTCAATATCAGAGATAAATATAAAAGTGAACATTGAAGTCAACACTTAGAGGCGACAGTCTGTTTCATGCTAGACACAATCGTCAGTCCACCTGACGATTGTGTCTAGCATGAAACACTATCGCCTCTTAGTGTTGACGCTAATGTTCACTTTATTTATATATATATATATATATATATATATATATATAACAATGCAAACTATTGGTAAAACTTCAAAATACAACCCTACTAACACTAAGCCTACTGAATGAAAATACATGAAACAACAAAAGAAGAGAAATCAAGAACAAAGAAAAAGAAAATAACAAAAGAAGAGAAAAGAAACATGAAAAGAGAGACAGACATCTTTAAGCAATAACTCCGTGTTCAGTGTCTCTAGCAAATGGACTGACAGAACACTATCTGTCTATATTTCTGAAATGAGGTATTATGTTGACTTTCATTATCCATTATCACCAGCAATGGTGAATATATACATGGAATAATTTGAAGAAATGGCATTTGAATCTATATCTCTAAAGCCAACTATATGGTTAAGGTACGTAGATGACACCTTCATACTCTGGCCACATCAGGAAGATGTTCAGGTTCTACTGGATAATAAAACCTTTGATACAGTTAACAATGGAGAAAGAGAGTAATAACATACTCCCATTCCTAGATGTTCTAATATCTCGAACAGAGCATGGGTTCAAGACATCCGTAAACTGATATTTACCAGACAGTACCTCAATTTCAACTCCACCCAGAGACATTAGATAAAGAATTGGTCAGTATAACTAGTACCCTACAATGTAACAACTACCCTGGGTACATGGCAGCAGCCCCAAAAAACTGGGATAGGCTGGTACAAGAGGAGCACAACAACACTCAGAAAACAGTCTGCCTTATGTGAAGGGGTTATCAGAGAAAATACAAAGGATCTGTGGTTCATATAACATCAGGACAACCTTCAAAATCTTGACGACACTTTGCAGATATCTCTCCCGAGTAAGACCGCCCCCATAGAAGAGAACATGACTAAAGACTGTGTATGCTATCCCGTGCAGCTACGGAAAGAAATATAAAGGGGAGATAGGCTGCCCCCTTAAGGTAAGGCTTCAAGAACACCAGAAAGCTGTAACACGAGGGGAAGTGAAAAAATCAGGCATGGCTGACCACATATGCAGAGAGAAGGGAGATCACTGCTCTCTGTGGGATCAGGTTGAGATCATAGACAAAGAACACCATTGGAAAATTTGTAAACTTAAAGGAATCAGCACATATGCTAGTCCACAAAAATCTCTTGAGCCGACCAAGCATAGAAATGAATACAATATGGGGACCAGGAATAAGGAGTGCCAGAGAAAAGTGATAACAACAACAAAAATTGCAATATGAGCTCTGGTAAAAACATGCAATGATAACAGCAAAAATTGCAATATGAGCACTGGTAAAAATGGTTGAAGACATTAGGTTTATAATACGCAGAAATTCATACCCAGATGTCTTCAAGGACACATGGCACAGTGGATAAAGGCGTTACTTAGATCCAGTGACAGGACCCAAAGAGTGTGAGTTCAATACCTAATGTGGCACCTTGCATTATTAGAAATATTCATAG